TTTTAAATGGAATTACTGAAATAAATCTACTTTTTCATGATATTCTAATTTTATGACCAGCACCTGTAGAGTTTTAAACATAATTACACAACTGTGAGTTTGTTGTGTTCTGTCAATTTTTAAAACTAATGTCCACATATGTGGACAGCACTTTTCTCAGAAACTGCATTACGTAAAAAGATAAATCTTTGTTTTTACACTCAAGTCCCAATCAGCTCAAATATTAAGGAAAATGTAAAAAATACATATCAAGCAAGAGTTCGGGTCTGAGGAGGTTAAACCGTGCAGACGCTGAGCATCCAAAGTTCAATAGTGAAGCAAAGACTGCAGCGAAACGAGATGAGTCATTCGATAAATGCTGGGCTTTGTCCTGCCCATCGGACACTCAGCGTCTATGGGCAGTGGGCTGGCCCAGACGCTCAGCTTCTGCATGATCTGAGGCTGAATCCCTTTTTGATTGACAGCRAAATGAGCGAATCAGTGATCTTTCCATGTAATCATCTGTGGGAGCAGCTTTTAGCTTCTGTTCTGAACTGGAGACTAATCCTTTTGGTGGCATTTTTGACAGAGCTTTTTCCTGGTGTTCTCTAGCTGCTTGTTTGAGACTAATCAGTTTTTAATGCAGCGGTTGCTGCTGAGCCCCTCTACCCTTGTGAAAGTCTCATCTTAGGTAGCAAGCTGCACGTAATCGCAGACAGTTCAATGCTTTTGTCCGGATTTTGGTGAAGCCAGTTAGTTTAGCAGGGCTCATCAACTCAATTTGATACGTCCAGGTTTTATAAAGTGAGCTGGCTGAGGGTAAATGGTGATAAGTTAGCCTTTGGCTTAGACAGCTTTAGCTTTTTGACCACTGCAACACCCTGACCTGCAGAGATTCTATGCTAATCTACTCCTTGGATTGCTTGTAAAACAGTATTTTTATATGGAAATTTCACAGGTGATAGAGGGGATCCTGGTTAAGGCACGCACCAGGTTAAAACCTATTGTGACTGAGACACTAATAGGTCTCCCAAATTTAATTTAGAGAATTTCCTTCAAGCACTTCTCACACCCAAATAAAGATTCTACACAAGTCAGATGCCATTTACCACCATCTTTATTTGACCAAAAATAAAAATGGCAGGAGTATCTGCAGGGGAAAGGAAAAACTAAGTTTRGCACAAACTTTAAAATTCACAACGGTGCAGCTACATATGACTAGTTGTGAAGCACTAGGAGGATCTTGGGAAGACTTTCTGCTGGTGTCCATGACCAGGTCCATGTTCTTTCAAGTAGTGGATGTTCTGATAGTAGTCCTTGCCCTTCTCATGGCTTTTGCTGAAGGTGGTGTAGGTACCAGGAGGGTACAGACCATACAGCAGCC